TCTATTTTGTATGTGGTTTTATTTCATTCCTTATCTCGTCTTGCCTATCATTTGAAATATGATGATGACTCATACAAGAACAAGGATAGAATATGGCATGAGGAGGAAATAATAAATATGCACTACTGGTAAATTTCGTTCATTTAGTGGCTTAATGGGTACAGTAAGTGATGCACCCTCCGTTTCATTTTATGTGTCTTAGTTTGACTGGGCATAGAGTTTAAGAAAAGTAAAGAAGACTTTTGAATCTTGTGGTCTTAAACTAAAGATGTGTATAATGTACCAAAATACCCTTGATTCTTTTGGTCTTAAATATGCGATATGGAATGTTGGAGTGAAAGAGTTACTTAAAATAGAAAGAGGCATTCTTTAGAAACAGACAGTAAGACACATAAGTTGAAACAGAGGGAGTACTAAATTAAAGAGAACAACATACTAAGCTGTTGTCAAATCAGTTGTGGCTGGTGATCAACCTTATGATATTGTCTGTTTAGTTTCTTTTTCCTCCTCTTCGTTTTCTCCATTTTGCTGGATCTTTGAATGCTTATGAAATACTATTTCTAATCTGACCTCATTTTTCAGATAGGGAGGAGTATATGCATATGTCCTGATACAACTTCCTTTCCCACATTCAAATTAACTTAAAATCATGACCACCAAACAATGGTTTCCTTCTAGTCTTTGACACGAATAGACTGAACTCCTTATGTGCTAGTCACACTTCTTCAGGGTTAAGAACCAATTGTGAATAAGTTGGCATGGCATTTTATCATTTGGAAGAAGATAATTTATCTTTATCACTGTAAAGTATATTAGAGTATTGAAGACCTTAAATTTGTTTTATCTTTTGCTTTTAAGTTTTACCTAACTACTTGAGTTTGAAAAGTCCGAGGAACTGAAGCGTACGACCAGTACATATGCACTTGAATGAAAATAAGGGATGTAAATGCTGTAGTTTAGCCCTGTCAGCCGGTGAGGAGGTATTAAGTTCCAGGCATAATTAGTCGACGCATTTATCCACTATTTCTTCATAGCCTTGTATGGGCTAGTTTTGACCAGGCTTCTGTGGTTATTTCTATATGATCAATAGGGATTTAAGGGCAAGGAAAGAGGCAAATATTTGTGAATAATACAAGCATGCCTATAGCTTTTCCAGGGTCATGGGAGGATGATGTATGCTATAAGGGTTCTTAGGTTGCCGAGGAATCGAAATGTCGAAACAACAAAATTTTGCAGTGGCTGTGTCAGATATCTTAGGTTGGAAGAGAACGAAATGCTATATAATAAGGAGTGCATGGAAGATATGACGTGTGCGTAAAACCAAATAGATGTTGACTGCACAAACTATATTGCTTTCAAGTTCTTAAATATTCCAGCCTCCTGCATTTGAAGTCAAAGGATCTAATTCTTCCACACCTCGTGACAGTTGTACTAGGCATGCAAAATTTGTAAAGGAGACGACAGGAGGCACTTAAAAAAACAGGTGGAGAAGGGATTTGTTCATCTAGGAGGGCAGATTGTATTTAGTATAAGATGCAGTGAATATGGCAGCTGGTGGAGGACTTAGCGACATGGTTATGTAACAAGAGAGAGTGGTAGAAGGATCTTTTTAGGTGAAATGCTGCTAAGCTGTGAACTTTAGAAACAATATATTGATGAATCATGACATTCCTAACATGAGATTATAGAAAGGCTGGATTAATGAGTGACCTTTTCAGAACTTGACCTTTAAAGAAAGAGCTTTTTCACTTTAATCACCTGCTTTATTCCTTGGCTCACTAACAAGGCTGATGTTTTAGCTTTGGTAATTCAGTACATAGTGATCAACACAATATACTTTATTTATCTGTCTTAAATTTTATTTCTGCCTCAAAACTGGACTCTGAGATATTGTACTTTGTCTTTTTCTACTGATTTTGATGATGATGATAAAGGACATTGACCATTAATCAACATGTCTTGTTCTTTGGTTTACTATCAGCTTGTCAGTGCATGTTACATGGAGAGAATAGACCTTTCTGCTCATGGGTTCTACATTACACCTGATATTGGCTTTGACTGGAAATCTGGAAAAGGCACTGCATTTAGGTACTTCACCTATGGTGCTGCATTTGCCGAAGTTGAAATTGACACATTGACAGGCGATTTCCATACTAGGAGAGCAGACATTATCCTAGACCTTGGATTCTCTCTCAATCCAGCAATTGATGTTGGACAGGTCATTATTGCTCTCACCGTACTGTTTACGTGTAAATTCTGAATTTTTCATTGCTTAACTAGCCCGCTTATTGACATAATTTTATTTTTATGAATTTAAAAGTAGACTATTGATTAGTAATGCTGAAGTAATTGATGATTGACGGTCTGCAAGTTGTTGCTTTTGCCAGATCTATCTATGTGCAGGGGCGGATTTAGGGGGGCGGAATGAGGTTCACCTGAACCCTCTTTGCCGGAAAATTACACTGTATATATAAGGCAAAATTCATTTTGTGTCTCTATATATCATATTTTGAATCCCCTTGACACAACCCAAACACATAACTCAATGGTCAAAGGGGGTTCAAAACCTTTTTGAGGTTGCTGGTTCTATTCCCACTGGTCACAGTCTCTTTTAATTTTTTAACTTTTTTCTTTTTGAACACCCTTTGAAATCCTGCCTCCGCCACTGTCTTTGTGTACATAATATTTCCGTTTCATTGTTTTGAATGGTAAGCAAGAAGGAAGAACATAATTGAGATTTCTAAAGCATACCTCCCTTTCCTGGAATTGAGAAGTTTCCCATTTGTTTGTACTGCACTCAGTTGGGAACTTCTCAGATCTTTTTGTTTCCTTTTCCTAATGTTCAGATATTTACAAAGATGACCTGCATATATTCTGTCTAGCGCCATTAGTTACCAGTTGTAGACTTCCAGCTAATTGTCCACCTCACTGGATCTTGTATCTTCCAATTTGAAATGGCGCCTGCTAATGTTTGTGCATACTCCTTATACTTTATGCAGATTGAAGGAGCGTTTGTACAGGGTCTTGGATGGGTAGCATTGGAAGAACTGAAATGGGGCGATAAAGCGCACAAGTGGATTCCACCTGGCTGCTTATTCACTTGCGGACCTGGAAATTACAAGCTTCCATCTTTGAACGATGTGCCTTTCAAATTTAATGTCTCTCTTCTGAAAGTAAGTTCCACCACCATCTCTTTCTTGACATTAGGTGTCTAGATTTTCTTATTCATTGGCTAAAAACTTCTATATCATTTCCTTATTTGTTACTCCCTTAGTTCCAATTTATGTGAACCTGTTTGACTGGATACGGAGTTCAAGAAAAACTGAAGACTTTTGGAATTTTTGGTCCTAAACAAGTCAAAAAGGGGCTCAGAGTATTTGTGTGGTTATAAAAGCTTTTCATTAAGCGTAGAATTGTAAGTTTAAGCTAAATTGTTACCAAATTTAGAAAGGGGTCATTCTTTTTGGAACGGACCAAAAAGAAAATAGGTTCACATAAATTAGAACATAGGGAGTACTTTTTTTTCCGTTGTGTTCCACAAAACTTGGTTAAGCATAATACATCATCGGTGAGCTGATATTCACTGTTTCTTGAACTTGCTTAAAATTTAGGTAGATTGTTATTGGTACTAGCTGCTGTTTATTTTTCTTGAATATTTGTCGTGTTTTCACACAATACTCTCTATTTTATTTGGAAGTCGATATGCTTTTGCACATGAAATCTTGACTTTGCAGTTAACAATTTTCTGTTGACATTTGTTAACAGGATGCCCCAAACACAAAGGCTATCCATTCATCTAAAGCAGTAGGGGAACCGCCTTTCTTTCTTGGCTCAGCTGTCTTATTCGCAATCAAGAACGCCATCAAATCTGCAAGGGCGGAAGCTGGTTACAGTGACTGGTTCCCTCTTGATAATCCAGCCACTCCAGAGCGTATTCGAATGGCTTGCACTGATGAATTTACGAAGTTATTAGTGGAGTCTGATTTTCGGCCAAAGCTAAGTGTTTGATGGTTGAACTATACTTCCAAGAGGAGTCTGATTTTCGGCCAAAGCTAAGTGTTTGATGGTTGAACTATACTTCCAAGGTGAAAGGCTTGGAGCTTCTTGTATGCCTTCTGTACATTTTCCTGTAACATATTATGTAACACTATGGTAACTTGTTAAATTAGAATGTAATTTTGATATATAAGTGGCTTCATTCAAATTCTTGTGCGGCGCGAATCTGAATTTATCGGTCCAATGAATTTCGAATATTGGATAGTTAAAATAAAAAAAAGAAGTTCAGATCAATCATTAGAAGCTGTCCCATGCCATCCAACCTAAGTCTTGAAGAAAACAACATAAGAAGAGGGCAAAGCCTATAAGCCTCCTGGAGATAATTGTCAATGCAAATAATCTGGACACAACAAAACAGCTTTTAACACCCCATACTTTAGACAGAGTCCCACATTGGCAAAACACAAGAGGGATGTTGGGTATATAAGTTGACAAATCTTAGACCCTAGTGACACGTTTTAATCCGATGAGGACCTAAGCCCAGAGCGGCTGTCACATATGGTATTAGAGCCACTCTTCGACTCGGTTAGGCCCTCAGTGTTGAGTCTAGGCAACTTTTGCTTAACTAATTCGAAACCTAGACAAATTTAATAAGATATTTGCATAGAGCATGAATATTAATGAAGTGTTTTTCTGAACTTTTAAAGCCGTCCTTGGAAGTTCTTCATAGATATGTAAACAACAAAGAATCAAATTAAAATGTTTATATGGTCATGACATATTCAATAAATTAAATTTATAGTTGGTCCTTTTCTCTTTTCATGCCGAATGCACATTTGGCTAGCTCCATTTGCCCTTTGCATATATGGCAATTGACTTGGTCTCACTTTAACCATATTCACTATTGATGAACAAGTCTACCAACTAGGGGCTGTAAGCTTCATTGTTCACTAAAATATTGTACCAAAACTTGATGAGAAGACTATATAAAGGGACATTCTCCATCTTTATGCTCATCAAATTCAACTCATTCTCTTCATACCTCTTAGAAATATGGCTTCTCTTTGGCCAAATGTTATATGGTTTATGGCAATACTTTTCATATCCAAGAATGTAGAAGCAAGTCATAAACCCTATGACTATTCATGGAGAAAATATTATAGTTACAAGTCATCCCCAAAGTCAGCACCAGCATCTGCACCTTCTAACTCTAATCAGTCACCACGTCAACCATCTCCATCACTACAACCACCAAACCAGAACTATTATACTTCGCCACCATCACCTTCAGAATGGTTCTCTCCTCAGCCTTCCGCAGTTCCTTCACCTACTTACAATGACAAGAATACTTCAAGTTCACCAACCATATCGCCATCTCGATACAAGTATAGTTCCCCGCCCTCACCTTTAGGGAGGGCTCCATCCCCGTATCATTATTCATGGGCATCATCTCCTCAATCATCGCCTGTACTTGCGCCTTCTTACCCTAACCAGTCCCCACCATCGCCTTCAGAATGGTTCTCTCCTCAACCTTCCTCAACACCGTCGCCTTCTTACTATGACAAGACTCAAAGTCCACCGACTCCATCACCATTTCCAAATTACTATTATAAATCGCCACCTCCTCCATATGTTTACAACTCTCCACCACCGCCATCACCATCCCCGCCTCTTCCTTATTACTATAAATCTGCTCCCCCACCGTCACCTTCTCCACCTCCTCCTTATTACTATAAATCTCCTCCCCCGCCGTCACCTTCTCCACCTCCTCCATACGTTTACAAATCGCCACCTCCACCGTCCCCTTCTCCACCTCCTCCTTATTACTATAAATCTCCTCCCCCACCATCACCTTCTCCACCTCCTCCATACGTTTACAAATCGCCACCTCCACCGTCCCCTTCCCCACCTCCTCCATATTATTACGTGTCACCACCCCCACCATCCCCTTCGCCTCCACCCGTTTACTATTACAACTACCCACCACCACCTCCATCTTACTAAAATTTTCACATTATTCTCTGTTCCAAAAACATAGCAGTATACTATTGCCAATTACCTCCGTTTGAAGTGTTATTCTATCTACTTTTCATGACAGCTTTCTTTTATTTGTCCAACAGATCATCTATCATTTGCATGTACTTCTTTTGATTCTTATTTATTTCAATATACGTATCGGCCTCCTCTTACTAATTTTGTTGGTATGAGATAAAAAGTTGTTCTGAAATGATGATCTTGTAGTTCTTCTAATATCTGCGTTTGCACAATCACAGCAGTAATAAACAAAATAATGGGCTGACATAAAATAATAAAATAAATTCAAGAAACCTAACTAAATGAAAATTTATTTTAGCTGTCACATTATATTTGTCTGGCTACAAAAACTTGTTATTTGTTATAAAACAATAAAAGAAGAAGAAGAGTATTGCACAGAAAAGTAGAGGGAGAGAATTCTTATTGATTTGGGATGAATTACAATAGAATAGAACCCTCTATTTATAGGGAGAGGGTGACTTAGCCACCAAGTAATAAACCCTAGAATCTCTCTAAATATAGATATTCACCATAATAAAATTCTATTTATAACACCCCCCCCCCCCCTTGAATGTCTATTCAACGGATAATGTGCCTCGTTAAAACCTTAACTAAAATAAAACCCAGTCGGAGAAAAACTCTAGAGAAGAAAAAAGAGTACACATATCTACAATACGCCTTTTGGTTGCCTCGTTAAAAACCTTGCAAGGAAAACCCAGTGGGACAAAACCTTGTAAGGGGAAAAGAGTACAACGCGTATTAACTCCCCCCTCATGAGAGCATCATTTCACATCCTTAAGCATTTGCATTCCAATCTTGTGCACCATCTTCAAAAGATCTTTGGTAGATATTTGATAAACAAATCAGCCATATTAACTTGAATGAATATATTGCACCTTGAAATCATCATTCTTGATAGAGATGAATTGTCTTCATATGATCTTGTTGGAATCGTCAGTTCAATATCTTCATATAGAGGTGAAAACTCTTGCTATCATATTATCATGCTTATAGCTATAGCAAGATACATATGTGCACAAATTGCATTCTATATGCTTTAAGCAATTTAAATCCTTCAAGGATTTTTAAGTCATATAAGCCATATAATAGACTTTAGATGCATATCAAGTTTTCATCTCATGCTAGACATATAAGATATCGAAAACTGATTGCACATACCATTGACTTTATACTTTCAAGTGTTTGAACTACATGTTCAAAACTACATGTGTTTCATATGAAACCAATTCTATTCGAATTGTTTCTTCAGACTTAAGATCCTCATATATATATATTTAGCGCTATCATAGATGTCGTCGACAAACATTTTATATCAGTTTTAATATTTTTTCATAAAGACATAACATAGAGATCTCTTCATTCATATTTTCAGGTACCTGAATCTCTCTTGAGATTTTATGAAGTGTTATGTCATGTGATCTTCTAGATCACTTGCCTCCTTTATTATGATCATTTTGATCATTTGCTCATCTTCTTTATCAAGAAGTTTATTTGAAACCGATTTGTCTATATGCTTTAAGCGTACTATAGAATTTGTCCTTCTAGGACTTATTCTAATAGGAGCATTTGCAATGAGAATATAGTTACTTTCTTTGGGTCAGCAAATGCGTCTGACATGCTTTGCAATATATTGCAAATGAATTATCCTTTTATGAACTTCAAGTTCATATTATTTTATTCGGGGATATAGATGTATAAATGATAATTCATTCCATGTAACTTTTTCTCAACTGTTGTATCTTGTCTCCCCCTCATGTTAGAAAAACTAACTTGTTTTCCTCAACTTTGAGAACTCATCTTTGTGCGTTATGGTATTAATCAAAATATACCCCGCACATCAATAATAATAAGATGAAATTATTTGGTTCCTGACCCTGAACCACTTGTGAGGGGAGAAAATAATATAATTTGGTATATAACGTATACCCAATTGATATAGATAACTTTGTTCTCATAAGCAATTATTTAGCTATTAAGTGGAGGCACTCAATAAATCATTTTGCTAAACCAATTGTGATGTAAACCAACTTATCAAGATGAACTATCTTGAATAAAAAAATCTGAAAATTATGCTCTAAATCAAATTATTGAGCAAGTTACCTCGCAAACACCATGTTGCGGGTTAATAATAATCGCACATGTAACCATCTCATAGATGCATTTATGTGGTATACATGGCAGGTGAACGGGCCCATATTCACCTTTGATATTTCCAGCATTCATGGGACTCAATCCCAATTTTAGTTGGTCCATTAATTAATGAGAACAAGCAAAATAAGAGGATTCGTAAAGAACTTTCTAGTTCTTTAATATTTACCCACGTGAATTCTCTTTTATTTTTGCAGATCATACTTAAATTAACATGGCTAAACCAATTATGCCAACTGCATAAATTATCGATATTGATAAAGTTCGAATTTACACCATGACGTGTGCAATTATTAATAAACTCCAAGTTTATTTTGATGTGGGTTTTTATATCAATAAACATCCACTTTATTGTGGTATTCTTTTATTTGTGTAGTACAAAATGGAGAATAAAGCGGGTAACTTTTCACATACATATTACCCCCAAGTTGTAGTAATAGAAGATATTAAATCTTTCCTTTATTTATAGTCTCAATATAATCAACCGCTTTCGCGTATACTTTGGAAACTGAATAAGTTTCTTTGAGACTTACTACAACAATTTTATTTCTCCAAAATAGTAATAATTGGCTCTTCCAGAGCTCTCAATTAATTTGGTACTACCACATATTCATCAACATCAATATGGTGAATATCTCTTTTAAAGAAAAAGTCATACCATTATGGTTATGGTCAAAGTTATATGCAAGATCTGTTTCTTGCATTACCGTGTACATGACCAATGACCATTTACGCTATAATAATGACATTATTTTCTTATATCATCTCAAACCTTCTTCTAGAGGTGAGTGTGGTATATTCACTACCACTAGCACATTCATATTCTTCCAAAAATGAATATGTATTAATAAATCACATGTTGTCACATTCACATCATGAATGGACCATAATCATTTATATGTGCTTTAAAAAATCTCATGTCGAATCGACGACAAATATTACTTTCACAAAGTGAAGGATTATTTTGAGAATCCTTGTTATTCCCATTATCACAATAATGACGATTATAATTTCGTCTATTGCCACGTCCACATCCATTGATACCTTCACGGTAATAATTTTGTCTTCTTTCAGACTTATCACATATTGCTATCACATTCTCTTAAGGGAATGAGAATGGAGCAAATTTAATGGGACTGGTTTTCACTTCTTGTGCTCACGATCATACATGACTTTGATCATGGCAAGACATAGAAATTTTACCACTTCGGGTAGTTATAATTTCTTACAAACTCCTTTAGAGTTATAATCAAACTTTGTTGTCTTTGCTTGTATATAAAATCAAATTATAGAATTTCAAGAGTTTAAAAGAGAAAAATAAAGTAAAATACTTACCTTAAATCCAGAATTTAATCATGAAGGAAGTTCATGGAATAATTGACAATCATTATGCTCAATCCCAAAACTTCTACTCAATTGGTTAGAGTCTCGTGCTGATAACGTGTTATAAAACAATAAAAGAAGAAGAAGAGTATTGCACAGAAATGTAGAGGGAGAGAATTCTTATTGATTTGGGATGAATTACAATAGAATAGAACCCTCTATTTATAGGGAGAGGGTGACTTAGCCACCAAGTAATAAACCCTAGAATCTCTCTAAATATAGACATTCACCATAAATAAAATTCTATTTATAACATTATTAAGGATAAATAAGAAATTGAAATTGAATTGCTTCTAAATTTAGAAAAATATTATTCTTTCGGAACAGAGTAAAAAGGAAATACATAGAATCAACGAATGAAGTATTACCCTTTACTTCGCATATGAAAAAAAAGGCTAGAATACAAATTAAAGGTGAAAATTTAAGTACAATCACTAAAATACATGGTGCAAAATTGTGAAACTTTTAAGACTACAATGTGAAAATATCTACCAAACACATTGTCTAAATGTTATATAGGTTAATATAAGAAAAATATTATAAATATATTATATTATGGATGTTTATTTAGTACTTCTTTGTAAATAAGCTTCCTGAAGAAGCTTATTCATATGGACTCCGCCGTAAATATGTTTATCTGTTTAGTACTTTATTAGAAATAAGCCTCCTGAAGAAGCTTATCACTTCGGCACTCCGTTATGGATAAACCTTACCCCCGATAGAAGATTATCTATATCTAGTACAATAACAGCTTACAAGCAGCTTACAATAGCAGCTTACACAGCAGCTTGCAGTTGTTTAACCAAAAAATAGAAATTTCGGTCAAAGCCTATTTTTAGAAGTACTCTGGTTGCTGATAATCAAGGAATCGATATTCTTGTGGTAAGAAAGAAAATTATAATAGCAAAGTAATTAGTAGGAAGTAAAAGTAAATAATTGTATTCTAATAATAATCAGAACGTATCCATACAAATGACATTTCTTTTCCTTATATAGTCATCGCTAAGTACAACGTCTTTTCCCTTTTATGATCGAGTCATTATGAGCATTAATGACATTAATGAAACGTTATAATTGGTAATCGTAACTGTTTCGTGAAGATTCTGTAACGTTTGTAATCATTCATGCTCATTAATTGAATACCAATGAATCTGCCCTTTTTATTGTCTTGGTTCCACCGGTGCCTTTTCAAATCGCTAAAGAGACTCGAGCAACCGTTTCTTCTCGTCTCTTAGACATTTTGCTCGTACCTATTAAGACTCACGTCTTTTTTAATACCCTTCTCCAGTTGTCGCTTTTCTAGTGATCCACATGTCTTGCCATGTCAGTCACTTAATTAATTCCATGTATAAATTTATTTTTCCCAATACAGATAGTACCCCACTTACCAATTATTCAATAATTGAATATTTGGGAAGTGGATCTCATTTAAGGCGGGAATTTTTGCCGCCGTTTCTCATGTACCATTGTACCTTCTTCTGAACTGATGTGTCGTATGCCACTTCCATTTAATGCATGTGATATGTGGCAATCATTGATTGGATCTGCAACCCTACAGCGAGTTTTAGGGCTTTTTTTGCGACTGCATCAGTCACGAAGTGACAGTTTTCATAATGACGTTTCCATCATTACCTTTGATAG